TCGACTCGACTCGTTACACCATTATTCAAGCGCAATTCACATTCACAACAAGATGGAAGGACTTCTATTGGAATCCATAGAAAATAAGATCTTCATTTTATACAAATTTATATTTTTAGACAAAGTTGTCTGTAGGGACTAAATCTGCTAATATTTTAAAGGTTGGAGGTACAAACCAGACAAAACAAATATTTCGGATAGGTCTGCTACTTTTCTCAAAGGTTGGGATGAATGGTACAATTTTCTGAATTTTTAAGTCTGACTCAAGTGACCGACCACTGGAGAAGATTGGTGCGGCTTCCATCTCCTGCTCTCACTCATGCCCACAAATTTGCAGTCCAACCTTCTCTTGGGCCCCACCTCGTTTGACGGCGGTGGCATCTCCAATTTGATTGGTCCATGGGCCTGGCGAGCTCTCCCAAGCCACCTCTGTCGTCGCTTCACGACGTCTGCTACCATCAACCGCCTCCAGAATCACTATACCACTCTGGGCGTTTCTACAAATGCTTCCTCCTCAGATATTAAGAAGTCTTACCGTCTTCTTGCTCTCAAGGTACTTTACATTGAGTGATTCTCATCATTTTGATTTTTGCGATGGGTTTTGTTCCCCGGGAACAATTCGGCGTTTTGGCTAGGATATTGACACTGTTGACATCGATTCATTTTGGGAAAAGAGAATAAATAATTGATTGATCGTTCTTTTCAGTTTGTGGTTGATTGTTTTTGCTTTAGAGAAAGAAGTTGGATTTGCACTTGGACATAATATACCATAAAATGTTCATAGTAGTTCGAGAAAGGAACATAACTAAAAGGAGAATATATCTGGGGGCAAGTGCTTACAGTTTGTTACTTTTTTCAAGTATGATTTCAAGGTTAAAAAATAATTACTAATTCTTTTGGTCGAGGATTTCTCTTCTGAGCCCCATAAAATTCAACTTATTTGTATGTGTCAAGGAAGTATTTTCCATGTACCTCATGTAATAATCAATCTTTTATCAGAATGTGGTTAGGACTTGGGCAATATGTTCCTGAAGACTGCATTAGGAGACTGTATGTACGAATGGAGGATTGTATACTTTTGTATTATTTGTTTGGATACTACAAAATTTTGCCAATACTTTTTTTGTGATCAATGAAACCAAATTGCTTATGGAGAATGGAGGCAGTGAGCATCTTTGATGTGGAGCATCACATGAATACAATGGTGAGCCTATGTCATAAGGGACTGTTTAAAGAAAGGCCAAAAGAAGTGCTTGAGTTATAGGGTTTGATTGTGTCTTTCCATTTAGCTATAGCTTTTGGGAAAAGTGGTTGCATCTCCCTACATCAATCTTCTTCACTTGAGGTTTTTGTAAATTTGTCTTGTCGGCATTCACGAAACATAGTGTCTTGGGTTCTGCATTAACGTAGTGATACTTCCCATGCAATGTGAAAACATCTGGGGCGTGATCTGAATAAAATTGTTCATAATATATTACCAAATTATGATATCATTTGCACCAGAGTGACTGACAAGCATAACATTACTTTCTAAATATGTAAAATTAGATTTCCCTATGCTGTCAACCCATGTAAAGCCCAATTATGACATCTCTTCTCTCCCACCTCACACCTCGGAAAGCACCGTTCTTATAATGATAAACGCGCTTTCACATCTTCTTAATCCGAAATGAAATGGCTAGAGAGGGGAGAGGAAAGTTTCCTTTTTTTGAGGGAAAAGAAAGGATCGGTTTTGACATTTTCTAAAGAACCATATCATACCAAACGAATGAAACTGAAATAGCTTGTATCATCACTAGTGTCTAACCTTTACGAATATGTTTCCAAGCTGGGTTTTCTCATCCTGTACAGCTGAAGCTTT